TAGATAGATAGATAGATAGATAGATAAATAGGTAGATAGTTAGATAGTTAGATAGTTAGATAGATGGATGGATAGAGAGAGAGACAGAGACAGAGACAGAGAGAGAAGATAGATAGCAAGTAACATGTTAAGTGAATCTGGCTTCCCCATTGACTTTGCTTGTCAGAAGTTTGCAAAAATTAATCACATGACCCTGGGACACTGCAACCGTCATAAATATGAGTCAGTTGCCTAGCGCCTGAATTTTGATCACATGACTGTGGGGTGCTACAACAGTCGTAACTGTGGAAAACGGCCATAGGTGCCTTTTTTCAATGATGTCATCATTTTGAATGGTCACTAAAGGAGTGATTTTAGGCAGCGGCGTGGTGGCCTAGAGGTAGAGCTTTCCGCTCTCAGTTAGGAGGCTGTGAGTTCGATCCTCAGTAGAGGCCGATGTTTTTCTCCCTGGGAACCATGAGAATATATATCTGCTAAACAAAACTCCATATTGGTGACAGGAAGGGCATCCAGCCATTCAAATGCTCTATTCACCCCAATGCAAGGGATTATGGTGTCTTAACGATGATGATGACTAAAGGAATGATTGTAAGTCCAGGATGACTTGTACATATCTACTTAAATACACCTGCACAATACAGGATGATAGGGGGTTTATTTGGCGGTACCGGAGAAGCCGCTGGGCGGAGGGGGTGAACCGGTGCAGGGGGGCAGGAAGGGCCTCCCCAGGCTAAGCAGGGCTGCCGCCGTCCCCTGGTTCGAAGGCCTGGCTCGGGGGCCCTGCCGGCTGCTCCTGGCTGGGGAGGCTCGTCCGGAAAGCGTGGAAGGAGTCCAGCTGGTGAGCGTTGAACTGGGGCATCAGGAGGGGGGACACGCAGTGGGACCACTTGTAGCGGGACTTCAGCCAGCGGCCGCCGTCACTGTCCTCGATGCAGATGGCAGCGATTCCTAGAAGGCAGAGAGGGGGACGGGGGGCAGAGGGCAAAGCATCAGGACCGGCTTCACAACCCAAAGGCCAGTTGGGTCCCTTCCCGGCAGGATGGGATGTAACAGAATGACAGGGTTGGAAGGGACCTTGGAGGTCTTCTAGTCCAGCCTTCCTGCTCGAGGAAGAGATTTTACACTGGGGTGTGTGTGTGTGTGTCCAACCTTGGAACTTTAAGACTGGTGGATTTCAACTCCCAGAATTCCCCAGCCAGGGGTTGAAGTCCACCAGTCTTAAAGTTCCCAAGGCTGGATCCTCTTAACCTTATGCCACCCCAGACAAATCGCTCTCCAGTTTCTTCTTCAAAACCTCCAGTGTTAGAGTGCCGGCAACATCCAGTGGCAAGCAGTTCCACTGGTTAATTGTCCCTCACCGTCAAGAAATTCCTCCTTAGTTCTAGGTTGCTTCTCTCCTTGGTCAGTTTCCATCCATTCCTTTCTTGCTCCTTCCATCCTTCCATCCTTCCTCCCTCTCTCCCTCTCCTTCCTTCCTTCCTTCCTTCCTTCCTTCCTTCCTTCCCTCCTTCCTTCCATAGAATAATATAATAACAGATTTTGAAGGGACCATGGAGGTCTTCCAGCTCAACCCACTGCACAAGCAGAGACCCTCTGCCATTTCAGACACGTGACTGCGCAGTCTCTTAAAAAGCCTCCAGTGACAAAGCAACCACAACTCCTGGTGGCCAATCTGATGCCCGCTGGGAGGGTCAGGAGGTAGAAAGTGAAGGTGCCAGGTTGCAAAAAAATAATAAACATTGAATGGTGCCAACGTAGCAGCCTGCGATAGAACATGGAGGATGTCCTGGGAGCCGCTGAAATGCGTTTAATAAGCCCTTGCTGGATTTCCCAGGGCTGTAGCCTCTAAGGTAGACTGCCACTGCATGGGGAGGCTTCCAAGACTAGCCCTCCGGCCCAGCCTGGGGAGGAAATCCACCCTGGTTGGCCCCTTCCTCTCCTTACCTGCCACCACACCACCTTGCCGTTCCACCAGCTGGATGGCGCCCTGCATGGTGCCCCCTGTCTCTACCCACTGGTCCACCAGCAGAACCTGGACACCTGGAGAAGGGGGGCGGGGAGCAGAACCAAGGTGAGTCTGGGGTCTTTCTCACCCAGCTGTCCTCCCCCACCAGCCCTTAACAGAGGGGGGTCCTGGCAGGTGGAGGGGGGGGTTTCCAGGCCACTTTCTGGCTGTGTGCCCAGCATTGGATGCCACCTGTGTGCCCTCCCTGGGCAAATGCCCAGGGGTTGGATTCAAATTATGTAACCAGTTCTGTGGGCGTGGCTAGGTGGGCACGGCCATGTGACTGCGTGGGCGTGGCTTTTTTGCAGCAAACCCCCCCCCCCATTTTTTTGCCTCCTGGGCCTCAGGGGACCCTCCT